TACACACAATGACCCTACATGTTGATTGGTTAACATTTCTTCACCAAACAGTTCCACAATCTTTTTGAAAAAAAATAAGCAATTACCCATGACATTTACTGGCCCATAGTTGTCTGGTCCATAATCTCCAGTACAACCCTGTAACATTGGAGAAAGCTGAGTTTTTTTAAAGCTTGAAACAACAGATAAGAAACCCTATATAATGTCTACTTTCTAAATTAAAGTTGTTTAATATCAGCTTTAAACCAAAATGGGACACCATCCTTCTTTCGTCAAAGAAAAGGAAAAGGCAATTAATTGCATATATATATATATATATAACCTGCTAAAAACCTTGATTATGATAGAAGGGTTAGAAATTTGAACTTGCATGTATAATCTTATTATTATGTTTAACCATTTCCAGTGATGCAAAAAGCACACCTAGGTGGTGCTACACGATGCTCCACCATCTTGTCTTGGCCTCAGGTAGTAGAGCTAGCCATTTCTCTCTTTTTTTTTTTCTTTTTTTTCTTTTTTTTTAGATTTTAATGTTATATTTTTGACATTTTTTGCCAAAAAAAAAAAAAAAAACCTCCTACAGTGCCTAGCAGCGCTTAAGCACCAACTAGGCCCTAGACGGTGGCCCAATGCGCGGCTTCTGCAACACTGTCGGTTTCAACATTAATCAAGTGCATGTGCATCACCTGAACTTGAAAGAAAGGATGATTGAATTTCATGGCTTATACAGGCAATGAGTTCTTTTGGTTCATTTGATGCGGAACGTTAAAGGTACAGAGCAGGTTTTGGCAGAAGCACCAGCAGTGGAAGTGGTCCATGAATGATGGTCATCCATGGTTGTGTTAGCAATTAATTACCGAGGAATTGAATCCAAAGAGCTTGGCTAAAGATAGGGTCAGCAATACGGTACCTAAAAGCATTATATGGAACTGGTGGACCAATCTGTGTCATATATAATCATACTGTCTTAACCTGTTCTTGTTGCATATGCCAGTGTACATGGAAATGCAATGCTCAATGCAGAAGTACTGGAAAATCCAAATCACAAAACATTTAGACACTACACACAAGCATATGCACACAAACGGGTTATCATGATCTGGAAAATCTGAAACTCTTACTCGAAAGACAGGAAGGAGAAATGTACCCTCCAATCCAGTACATCTCATGGAATGTGTGCATTTTACTGTTGTTTTACTTTTTTACCGCCTAGTAAAGATACTGTACAAAACTCAGTTATGAAACTAATTCTACATCAGGAGAATATATAGTTAATTCACCAATGTAACAAGATAAGGCATAATTCAATTCTTACCCAGCATTAAAGCCTTGGATTCTGACACTAATCCCAATTACTCTTATTCTTTGAGATGATGACTTTGTTAGGAAAGTGTTGAGCAGTAGAATCACTTTGAGCAATCATTGTTTCCCGCCAGAAATATCATCTGGGAGTTAGATGTAAGATGATGGAAGTCCTTACCAACCAGAAAAATCTTGAAATTCTCCAGCTGTAACTTTCCTTTTCTTTGCAACAGGAATTGCAGTCACACTGGTGTCCACCACAGCAGATTCACTTTGACCATTCCTTGCTTTTTAAGTGCTTTCCAACACCACCACGACCAATGGCTCCGGATTCCGTTGTTCCTGTCTCAGGATTGCTATACCATGACCCAACCTTACCCTGGAGTGCATATAAGGAAAAACATATAATCATGTGATGTTAAGGTTTAAGAAAAAAGAAATACAAATAAAGAACACCCAAAGTTAGCATTCTCATCTAAGAGGATATAGAAACTAACATTTTCTTCATCCTCGGAATTCTTCTCATTTTTTTCCTTCCCTTCCTCTTCTTCTTCATCAGGCTCTGCATATGAATTGACAAAGACAGTGACAGTAATAATCTTAATCTCCTCCTGTACAAGCACCAGAGACAACAAATAGAACTTAGGTATGTGGTGGCAGTAGCAAATTTTTAGTAGTTAATATATCTCACAAGTTTTAATTCATTGAGGTACCCCTATATATTACAGAGAGATATGTGCAGACTTGAAATAAAAATGAACTTGTTTAGGCTACAATCTTTTTCTGTTTCCACAGTAACAAAATGATCCACAGAATCCCGAACATATGAGTTTCCTTTCTATAAAGGCGAAACCCCCAAATCTGCCCTCCAAACAGGAAGTAGGGACAGATTCATCCTTCAACAAAAAGCAAGGACAAATTGTCCTTCCAAATTATCAGTCAAGACAAATGACCCATTATTTAATGGCTAAGGTCATCACATGTCAAGAATCCATTTGCTACCTAAGCCTGTCTTTTAACTAAAAACTGATGTGTGATAACATTAGCTGTTAATAATGGATCGTTTGTCTCAATTAACAATTTGGAGAGGCAATTTGTCCTTGCTTTTTGTTGAGGAGCAGATCTGTCCCTGTCCCCCTATTTGGGGGGCAGATTTGAGGGTTTGGCCTTCTATAAGCAACGGCTTAGAAATGAACAATAAAACCAGATTGTAACAATATTTTTGTGAGTGGTTGGATATTAAGCAAAAGCTAATAAAGTGATGAAAGAAAAAAACACATCAACCGTTATAGAAGTCATTATTCAGTCCACAGAGGTATTATGGAATACTTCAAACTAACAAAATATGAAACATTCCATATATCACTATTCATTGGTTATAGAAAAAATAATTGAACACAGTGACCTACCAAAGGTCAGTCATTGTCATCAACAGGGACCATTCCCGCCAATGTAGTCAAGCCCCCAACAATACCTTCAAAAACTGTATGTTTGAAGTTTAAATGATTGGCAGACTTGTACAGGATAAAAAATTGTGAACCATTGGTGTGAGGGCCACTGTTTGCCATACTATAACACCTCTTCTGGAAGCAACTCAAGAGTTCAATTCATCTTTGAAAGGCTTTCCCCATATTGATTCACCTCACCTCCCAGTACCAGTAGGATCACCACCTTGAATCATAAAGTCTCTTCTGAAATGAGTAGAAACTATAACTTCATCAGAATTAAGTAAACTGAATTTAAAATTTTTATAATAATAATAATAATGGAAGGGAAATCGAACAGAGCTGTTGTCACACTATAAACAATACCAGATGTTTTCTATGGAAAGCCACTCCATTATAATAGCCACGTTCACAGAGAGTGATAAAGTTCTCACACATTCTTGGAGTAAAATCACAGTGCAGCTCAATGTTCAAATTGCCATGTGTTGTATGCAGCTGAACATAACCTATCTTTTTAGGGTCTTTCTCAACTTTGATATATTCAAATTCATTTTTCATGACAGGATTATAAGAGGTAGCAGTAAAGGACATGAAGCAGCGCCAGTTGTAAAACCACTCTTAACCTGAAAAGAATCAAATGTTAGAAACTTTGTGTTGCTCAAATATACTTGTGGAATCTTATATATACATTTTTCAAAATGTGATAGAATTGTCTCAAGATCTGAAATCTAGACCAAGAAGATAAATTAATTAGCAAGAGCAAGAATAGAAGAATCAATTTCCCCACTTTGCAAACAAAATACAGATTGACTACAGTACCAATTCATTGCTAATGGTAATATCAAACCATGTAAACCTATGATACCTAATCATCTTCATGAGACACAAAGGTCTTGGAAGGAAACTAGAATATAACAAAAGTCTTGACAGTTAAATGTATTCTGGATAAAAGATATGAGTTTAAAGCAGAGAAATGATCTGAGCATTGTCCTAGTATAAACTTTCACAGAGAGAGAGAGAGGAGAGGAGAGGAGAGGAGACTTCACCATCTTAGCATTCACAGGGTCCCTTTCTCCAGCCGTATGCATGGTTATCCAAGCAGCAGTTTTATCACTTGAGACAGCTTTTGCTGCAGCAGCAGTTCTTTCATGTACTGAAGCAGATGCAGCATCTACAATACTGTAAGCCTGTCGAGCTTTATTCCCTCCGTTTGAATCTGATTTTGAATCCTCTTTAACACATGACCTTGCAGCTAAAGTGGCAGCAAGAGCATCAGCCCTTTCATTTTGTGCCTTAGTACCACCACCACCAAGTAGAGCAGTCGGCCTTCCTTTCTCAGTTCCAAGCTTCTTAAGCATCTGCTCGATATCTCCAGAGACGTTTATGTTGTACATGGGATCTGAACTCATTTTCTGTAGTTCTGCAGGAAGAATTATGGATGAAATCATAATCATGAGAAGATAAAATAATGCATAGGTGATCTCAGTAGTAAGAAAAGCCAGAACAGCTATATACCTTCAGCATCAACCTTCAAACTATGTTTAACATGATCAAATCCAGGGTTACCTTACTTTCCATTGCATTAGGATTCTGAAAAACAAAACTGGAAAAAATAAGAACAGCCTCACAATACAATATTAATGCCTGCTAAACCACTAGCATGCTTTAGGAAAAGATAGAGAATTAAGTTGAAGTCACTGGAACATAGTCAGGCTGGTACAAACAAACTACCATTGGTTCTTTTTTTTTTTTTTTTTTGGGGGGGGGGGGGGGGGGGGGGAGGAGACAGAAGTCAAGGTTTCAAAATTCTGCATAAGCATACTAACACAGTAACACTCAATAAACCAAGGAAGAGAAGCCATTGGATTACCTGAATTGTTATAAGATGTTCCTTAGTAAAAGGTTCATCGTTAAGTAGCTCTTTCCAGTTTTTGGTCTTGATGTTTAACTCTTTAATTGCCTACAAGAAAAGATACAGAAAGTCATACCATAGAGCTTTTACATGTACTATTTAAAGGTAAACTCAAAATCTCAAATGAATGTTTTCATTTTGACAATCAGCAGGAATACAAACCTCATAACAGAATACGTTTCCAGTGGTCTTCACAGCAACTATGCGTGTAAATTCAGTGAAAACTTTGTTTAGCACCGGGCAATGATACTCTCTTGCATAGGATATAATTGCTGTTACATACTCACATAATGAGAGTAAACAAATAGAAGCACGGAAAATGCCTTCAGTAGCACTGCAATTGAACACAAACTCATGTCTTCAAATTTTTTTTGCAGCAAACAATTTAACAAAAAACAAAGAGGTATCCTCTCTGACAATAAAAACTTTTAAAATAGGATAGTCGTAAACTTCTTTGCTCAGTATAATACCTAATGTTTCGTAGGTAGTTATGTCACTTATGTGACGAGAAAAGGGGTTTATCCTATCCTGTTTTCAGAAAGGCATATTGCAGATTCTATAGAGAAAATGCCTGGACATCTCTCGTGTCTCCTGTTAGTGAAAAACAAGTTTAAATGATAAATGCAACCTTCAGCTGAGCTCTCAATACATAAAGTCACAAGGAACATTTAACTAAAAGAAATCTTGCAGCAAAAATTAGGAGCTAAAAAGTGTAAAAAAAAAAAAAAAAGGGTCTCAACCTTCAGAATTCTTGTGCAAAGTAAGTGGGATGAGATCCTCTTGCTTCAAAGGAGCTCCGGTGACTGGATGTTTCCCATACTTCCTAATGTAAGGAATGATATTCCTGTACAAAAATAAGGAACATAAATGCAGATTAAACACAACATCAAGATAATCATTAACATTCAACCAAATCCACCAATTGAAAACAGAGATACCAACATTATATCAAAGACGCTGCCATCACTCGTTCATACCAAAACCTCAAACAGTATAAAGGTAAGACAGCACTCATTCAAGAATAAGAATGCAGAATGTAAATAAGCATTGATTGTATAAATATCTAATGTAGAAGAAGAGACATACACGCAGCAATGGAAGGGGAGGCATCTTAAGGGGGTGAGAATATCCCTGTATTTGGCGCCGCCCCTCTCTGTTTTGGTTATGAACATTCTGTCCTTGATACGCTGCTTCTTCCCCATCCTTGACCTTTGAGACTACTCGATTAGGGTTCCTGATTCTGTTGAATTCTTCCTGCTTAGCACACCAGCTCGCTCCGGCTAGGTTTCCTGCTCATCCGCTTAGCGGAGGGGAAGCAACGGTGGAGGAAAGGGAAAGCTCCGATGTCTGACGGCCTGAGTCTCTGATTTCGCCGACTGGGCTGAGATCTTCGCCGGTGTTTTCCAGCTTCAACCCGTAAAAGGCCCAATCTATAGCCCACTAAGGTTTTTGGGCTTAATTTAAAGGACCTCAGTATGCCCATATGAAACTAAGCGGGCCTGCTAAGTCCATTTTCGTCTGTCAGCGAAAGTGAAACTTAGCTAAAGCTGGAGGAGAGAAAAGGAGGAGATACTTACAGTGGCGCCGGCGGCCTGGGGTTGCGAATGGGAGGTCGGACGACGAGTAGCGGCAGTAGCAGCGGCGAAGAAGAAGGAGATGCAGAGTGGAAAGCAGCCATTGCATCAATAGCTGCCACCACTCCTTTTGCCACTAATGGCTTCAACAATTCCTCCTCCGGTGGCTCTGCAACAAAGACATCAAGCAAACCTTTTTCCCATTCTTCTCCAGGTGCACAAGACGATGGAGAGCAGCAGCATCAACCCCAAAAGCTCAAGAGCTACCAAATCAAGGTCCTCAAAGTTTCCATGTTTGTCTTTCCTTGATGTTAATGTCTGTTTTATGGTTTTCTTTCTCTGCTTTCATAGATGTCTTTTAGATGGTATTGAGGTTTCATTTATTTTTCTCGGAGTTTAACTTTGCCTTTCTTAAAAGTAGCATATGGGCTTAGCTATCATCTCAACTCTTGTGTTCTACTCAAATTTTCCTCATTTTGGCATAGACTGCTTAATTCTTCCCTCAAGCAGGAGATTTTCTCATTTTAGCATCCAAATTCTTGCTTGAACTTTGTTGTTTAGGTGAAGTTGATGAATTTTTTAGTTGCGTTTCACTTTGCTTCAATTTGCAGCTCTCTTGAAAATTTTCTTTTCATTTTTTGACATGGGTAGATTATAACTCAATTCAGTTAATGCAGCCTGCTAGGTTCAAAGCATTGCTCTTCTGTTTTGTATAGAATTGTTGACGTGTATTATACTTAATACTTAATAGTTTTTTAAACTATCCATAAGATCTTTTCGATTCCCATTTAATTCCAGTTAACAATTTCATTTTTCCCACAAAACAACCTCCTTGAGTAGAACTATTTCTAAGTTCTTACTCTTGGTCATTGGTGCATAGTTGCCCTGATTCTGGACTCTTTCTGCAGAACTCATGGTAAGGAGAAAAGTACTTTTTCTCCCTATGTTTGTTTGTCTTTTCTACATTTTAATGCTCCTGAACTAGTTCTTTAATGCTATTTCTGCAAAATTATTAAGATAAAATGCATCCTACTATTTTCTTCTGGATTTATATGGTTTTTTGCAAATAATTTTCTTCTTGGAGCATGGGAATGAACTGACATTGTGGTTGAAAGTTAGAAGGTGAAAGTTAAGTTACAAAGTATGTGGAAAAGTTTTTTGATGAATTACACAGTTGTTGAAATTGTTTGAATATCTGTTGGGCTGTAGATATCTTCATGTTCCTATATTATCAATTAATCTCTGCCTTTTTCTTTGTGGATTATTCAATTAAAAAAAAGTTGCTTGTTTTGTTACCTAAGAAGTTGCAAACTTTGTAACAGGCACAAAAGATTTTGAATGGCATGTTAGAGAAGAGCTTAGAGTTTGTAAGAGATACCAATAAGTTCCCAGAAAGTGACCCCAGGGAAAAAGATAATGGAGTTCAATTATTTAAAAATTCACCTCATGGAATAGTTTTTGACCATGTGGGTAAGTAATACTTCATATATTCTGGCTATCTCTACTTATAAGTAATAGAGACATGGGTATTACCACCATGCATAAACAAATCTGTAGCACACTTGTGTGCATGTTCTAGTTGTATTGAGAGTAAGGATTAAAGGTGATTTTCGCCATCAGGTAACCAGCAGCTACCCAGAAAGAGACCAAAAATCCTTCCTGAAAGAGGAATTGATGAGAAACCAAAGAAGGTTTGGCTGTATATTTGGAAATATTTTTGCTTGCATTTAATTCATTTTCACTCTTCATTGTTTTATGTATATTCAGTTTTTTTCCCCAAAATGCTTCATGGTGGTATGCAGTTTAGACAACGACTCAAAACTGTAGCTGTGGATGGGAATGATATTTTAGCTGCAGCGCAAGTTGCAAGCCAAAAATCATTAGCTAGGCTAGAAGCTAAAGAGGCAGCTGCAAAAGCAAAAGCCAAAAGAGAAGAAGAAAGAGTGGCTGAACTGAAGAAGATCAGGGGTGAGAGGTGGCTTCCTGCAATTGCAAAGGAGATGCAGGTAAAGCCTAAACTTTAAAGTCATAAAGACAAAGTACTTGTTTCTGCATGCTCTTTCCAATATTCATTTACAATTGATTGTCATTTTATAGTCATCTAAAACTCTTGTTTTGCCTTTTTCTTTTCCTGCTTAGTTAAACAAAAGTTCTGGGAGACAACTATAGACGATTATGCCCAGTGGTTTTGGAACATTCATTTTTACCTTGGGTTGAAACCGATCCAAAGGCCATCTGTTGCTGAATCTAGAATTGAGCCTATTTTTGTGGTACATTCCCAATTATTGTATTATTGAACCTCTTGAAATGTTTTGAAATACTATATTTTAGATAGTGGCTAAAGCCATGATGCTTTTTTTTTTTTATGATTGAACAATACCAATATGGATTG